AGAGAAGGGTGGGGGCAGGGGCAAGGGGGATGCCTGACGGCGAGGCGGCATACCGCGTTGCGGCCGACTGCAGGTGGTGCTGTCATGAGAGGGTGGTTTTTTTCTATACATGTGTAATTTAACGTGCATTATGTTTATATATAACTCTAGTAAAATATTTTAAATGCCCATGGCAACGCACGGGCAGTCTACTACAACAGGCCCATCACGCCAAGGTACAAGAGAGGTCTTAGGAGATTCCCCAGCAGGTACTGCAATAGGCCCATCACGCCAAGGTACAATCCAGCCAACCCCAGGAGCTGCACCGCACAGAGACCCAGGCTGGATCCATATTCAGGGCACTCCTTCCATGTCATTGAGATCCTGCACTCCGGCAAGAGCAACATCCTCGTGCAGTTCCTGGTGCAGGATTACGATATGTGGAGGTTGGCGTGTGGTCATGCTCATTGCGCCATACCGTCAATAGCCCGACTATGGACTTTAAGGCGAGGCACTCATTCCACATCAGCGAGCTCGTAATCTTGAGCTCGTGCATTTGACCAAGAGAATTGTCGTGGTGCAAATCCTGGTCTGGAACTACGACCTCTACCCATGGCATTTAGGAGGTTGGTGTGTGGTCATGCTTATTGCCGGAAAAACCATCTATATCAAGTGCTTTCACCTACGCTTAGTGCCAAAGCGCAGACTCGGCAAATACGGTATTTACTAAGACCTATGATCACCTACTCAAATTTTATACTTATTTACAACTTATTTTTTTAAAATTGGACCTGATATGCTTTTCATTAATTAAATTTGATAATTAAAGATTATCATGTTCGGAAATATTAATAATAGTGTTGAATATATGCTCTAGTTGTTATGTTTATATCTTTGAAAAATGTGTCTGTTTGTAATAGAAGTTATTTTTTTATAGTAATTGTGACTTAAAAGAGAATTTTAATACAATCCGCATATCTCTGAGAAAAGGTACAAAAATAGTGTGTTTTTTAGTTTAACTTTGATACTTGCACTAAAATAGTGTATAGATCTCTATATGTTTCCTTAAATATATTGGTAGGTATTGCTAAATCATGGTTTTAGAAATATCTTGATTGCAAAAATAAATCTCATGATTCTGGTAACTAGTTTATAATTAGGTATACATAAAAACACAGAGTATATTAACTATCTACGAGAAGCTTGCTCTGAAACATTAGTTTTGTTGCTTCGTCCTTTGTCTGGGTCAAATATGTCTCACATGTTACCATGTGCTCAATACTTCCTTGATACATTGATGCGCTTTATAATTACTATTAGAATATAATTGTTGTAAGCTATATGTAAGAGAACTTTTCCTACAACTTATAGGATAGTGGATAGGAACCACGTTGTTGACTGCATCTAAAGTTAGTGAATAGTGATCACTATAGTACTAAAGTTGGTAATATTACCCGAATCACTGCAAGGCAGAGTTCCGTCAAACTGCGAGTGTAAAGACTTTGGCAAGTGGAAAATCTTCAAGTTCCGATTTTCTTTCGGCCCTGGTGTTGAATGTAATAAGTTACTCTCGCCCTTTGGTGCATACGTGAATGAAGTTTTTAGCCACGCAGACAGTGATTACTTCATTTGGTTATCCGAAAATGGAGCAGAAAGGATTCTCGCATTTTCCTCCAGAGGTGACCCTGAGTTATCGAACCCACGAAAAGACAGTGCCCTTGAAGCTAAGCTCTCAAACAAGCATTTGCTAGAGAATTAATTTCAGCTTTTGACCGGATCGTAAACCAAGTTGACACTGAGAACACTTATAATAAAAACAGGCATGGGTATGAGGACTTATGCTTACAACCATATATTTGGTCAGGACCAAGAATTGTGTGCTTTTCAGTTTAATTTAATACCTGCGCTAACATAGTGTATACATCACCATGTGTTTCCTTAAATATGTTGGTAGTGATTGCTAAAGTGCAAGGTCTTAGAAATATCTTGTTGCCCTTAAAAAAGAAATATAAACATTGTGGTGTCTAGTTTAAAATTAGGTTTACGTAAATAGAAAACATAGAGTAAATTAAGTATTTACGAGACACTTGAACTGAAACGTCAGTTTGCTGCTTCATCCTTTCCTCTGGGTGAAATGTGTGTGACATGTTACAATGGGTTCAGTAATTCCTGGATACATGTATGCAGTTACACCAAATGATGCAACCAAAAGTCCAAAACAGCCAAAACACACTTGCGACCCAAGTTAAGTCAATGGGTTCACTCTATAATTGGTGCATAAATATAATAGTTGTAGATTGTAGGTAATATAGCTTTTCGTAATACCTATAGTTTAGTGCATAGGACCACGATGTTGACTATAGCTAAGATTAGTGAAAAGTGATCATGATGTAGTACTAAAGCTGTTAATAACATTTTTTTAATTTGAGATTTTTTTAAAAATTATGAACTTGTTTAAATATGAAGGTTTTTTTAATTCACTAATAATTTTTTTAACTCATGAACAATTTTTAAACTCATGAACATATTTTGAAAATCCTGAACATTTTTCAACCTCACGCACAATTTTGAGAAGTCATGAATTTTTACTGAAAACTAGATTTTCTGAAACAATTATGAACATATTTTGATATTGGGAAAATTTTGTTTGAAAACACGAGATTTTTCAAATTTATGAATATATTTGGAAATCCAAGATTTTTTTCAAATTCTGGACAATTGGTTTGAAATTTGCGAAATATTTATGAAATTGATCAATATTTTTGGAATTTTGGGAACAATTTTTGAAATTTGCAAACATTTTTTAGTTTGTGAATATATTTTGAATTGGTGAATATATTTTAAATCCGTGATCATTTTTGGATTCATGACGTTTTTTTGTAAAATCAAATTATTTTTGAAATCCCAATAGATTTTTCAAATTTGTACCCAACAATGGGCTGGCCCACGATCTATCTCGCTTTGTTTTGAGACAAATTGTTTTTGAGACAAACGATCTATCTCGCTTGACGTGGGACACAACGACCCCTCGCCTCTAGCGGCTAAGACAATGGGCCGGCCCACTCGCGGGAGGCGACATGCCTTAAGGCGCTCATTTTTCTTCTTCTGTTTTTTAACATTTTTGGTTTTTTCCTTTCTTTTTAACTTTCATATACGTCAAAAAATATAAATATATTTAGAAAAACAATTTACCTCAAATTTTGAAAAGAATGTTAAACATGCAGTTGAAAAGTGTCGAACGTGTATAAAAAAATGTTTGACATGTATAAGAAAATTGTATGATGTGTATGAGGAAAAGTAGACATAAAACATGTATATTGAAAATTTTAAACATATTTAAAAAATATTATATGTATACAGAAAATGTATAAAGTGTATGAAAACAATAAACATCAAAACATATAGTTTGACTATGAAAAAATAATAGTTTGAAAATATATTAATCATGTATATGAAAAATGTTAAACCTGTATAAATATTTTGGACATATACAAAAAAAAAGTAACTTGCGTACGAAAAAGGGACATCAAAACATACATTTGAAGAAAATGTTAATCATGTATTTGAGAAATGTTAAATGTGTATTAATTTTACTGTTCACTTACGCAAAAAATGTACAATATGTAAGAAAAATATGGATATGTGTTAAACAAAAAAGGAAAAAACTGAAGAGAAAATAGAAAAAAACCCGGAGAAAACCAGTCCAAAAAAGAAAAAATAAGCAAACCAGAGAAAAACAATTAGTCAAGGGGTATCCCTTGCAGGCGCGGCGACTATGTCTCGCATTAACTGCTGAAGGGGTCTGCTAATTGGACAATTAATGAATGAAAAGGGGGAAGAGAAATGAGGGTGCCAATGGGATACGAACTGTGCTCTTCCAGTTCAAAAGAAAGTGCAACTAGCAACTGTGCTAGGCTCGTGTTTGTGATAGATAAGTAGGGATGTTGTTCTTAACTCGAAACAACCGGCTTTTTCACTGTTATCTGGTGAATCATGTTGTGTTCCTAGATTTTGGGAGTTCATGAGATTACTTGATCCATACGTATATAGCCTCTGGAGACACTCGATGAGACACGTGAGGTTGAAAGCTTGCAGATCACCATGCTAGTACAGAAAAGATGCAAGTGCTGAGATTCATCTTCTCCATGATCAGCGACATCACTGATGCATTGTAATTCCAGATGTGGTTCTCTCCAGAGCAGAACAAGTTTGGTACCTTAAGTTGTGTTTTCCCTGCAACTGTAAGTTTGGAACAATATCTGCTACTATGATAACTATCGCCAGAAAGAATATTTCTATTGTTGTTATGACTAAGATGGTTTTCGGACTGTTGAGTGCAACTTAACAGCAAACTCAGATATAATACTTGAAATTGATGATACATATACTAGTTCATGTGCTGATCCTGATTTTTTCTGCCTGTGATGTAGTCTGCAACGAGTTATTCTGTGGCCTTCAGTTGATTATAAGCACATGTAGATGTATATATTTTTCACAGGTAATATGCTCAAGAACAGAGCTGAGATGACAAATCCATGACTAAGAGTAACACACAAGCACTAACAAAGTCCATTCTCCTTCATTAGTGTACGTACAACATACTGCCTCTGGTTTCCCTTTGATCCTCCTATATGTATGTTGTCTATCTGCAGTTCTGCGTCGCGTACAAAAGACAAAGAATATATCCTCAGACAACTCATAAAAAGGAAACAAACTGCTCCTGCTGCTGCCATCGCTGCGGCGCAGCAGGTTCAGTACACTATGTATATGTAGAGCTATTGTATCACTGTATCCAACTCTGTCTTTTAAGCATCATCTCTGTAGCTCATGGAAGAAGAAGAAGAAGCGCACCTCTCGGTCGCGACAATGTCCACCGTCCAAACCGGACCATGTAAACGTACTCCCGAGCCAGACAATGTAAGCAAACTCCTCACCCCTTCTTGCACCTGGACTACAATCACCGGTGTACACCGATCAATAAATTAAAAGGCGTTGTATCGATGAGCTGCGAGCCTTGGATGTTAATCCCGGGCTGCCTTGTTCCTCCATGCAGCAATGGGCTTCGGAAGACTGTCGAAGAGCGGCTTCGGAAGACTGTCCAGGAGCAGGATCGGGAGAGGCACCGCGAAGGCGTCTGGTTTCAGGTTCCACTTGCTCAGCCACACCGAGGCAATGTTGTTGTCTGAGTCCTGGAACTCAGGGGTGCTGGACGATTTCCTGACGGCGAGCAGCCCATCGCCATACGAAGGCACGAACCCTGCCGCGATGAGATCCTGCTGGCTGTTATTCATGTCTGGCCGACTTCCCGACTTTGGCCTCAGCGCCAAGCCTTCCCCGGTCCTCGGCAACAGGGCACCGCCATTGTCCTCCCTCATCGTTGTCAGCTCGAGATCGGCTTTCTGGCGCCGCCTTATTTGCTTTTCAGCATCATCCGTGTCCCAGCCGGCATCCCCGTTTACACCAGGGAAGCCGGTCGATATGCTTCTCGCTTTCCTATGCTGGCCTGCAGGTTGGTTAAGATTCAGAAATCAGCAGACAGCAGAGGAATTGCTAATCATCATCCAAGCAAACAGGGGATGGTTTCTTTTACCTTTGACAGACGTCGCCATTTCGGTGCCTTCGTCTGTCAGGTCCCGCTTGGGAGCTGGCGCGAGTCCGTAGTATCCCTGCAAGAGGCTCATGGAGGGCGAAACCGTGCTGCGCGGCGGTTTCTGGAACGGGTCCAAGGCAGCATTTTTGGGAGGCCGGCGCGTAGTCCATTCCCTGAAACAAATCTTAATTGTTATATCCCAGGCAGAGCATGAAGTGTACCGGCCAGCAAGGAAGTCCACCACCGATCTTCTTCAGATCCATGTGTACCAGCAGAGAAGTCAGCACTCAATGGTGTGATCATTAAACAAGAAACACCAACTAGGGAAGCACTACAGTATGAATGTGTACCAAGAATCTCATACTGTGTAGTATACAATAAAATTCAGCTGGAGATAAAATACACTTGCTACAGAAATCCTACTTGCGGTCTGTCGGTGCCGCCATGATTATGTTTTTGTATTGTAACTATGTGCGAGTCCAAGCAGGACATGTGTGGTGTGGGCAGTGGGCGGGCATGTGGAGTGTGATACACCTGTCATGTGTCCACTCCACAGGCTAGATCCTAATTTCTTCCTTTGCGCGTTGGCTCTCTCTGGATGTTCCCACCACCACCGTGCGGCACTTGCAACCGAGTGGGCGTAGACCGGCCGGCCCCTTTGGAAGGTTCAGAAAAAGCAGAGCACATTTGGCATTCGCCACTTGCCACTACCAAAAGGTGTCGATGTCAATGTAGGTGTGCATCCCTGTCGACTGTCAACAGTGACTTCGAGTGGCCGAACCTGCCTACCTCGCTGGATTTTGACCTGCTTCTTTGCCGCAGATCATGGTGGGACATTGCCAAATTCTAACATGAGAAAAGGGGGATAGTCGGTGGCAAATCTGAAGAAATTTTCTCCTGGAACTGGTCAGGATTCAGAACGAGTCGCCCGGCCGTGGGTTCAGACGAGACAGGGGAGTGAGACGGAGGAATTAGGTGAGGCTCCATCTGCCAAGTGGAAAGTGGTAATCTGGCGGGCGTAATCCATCCATCTTCCGGCTGGAAACTGTATAATCTAATCGAGGAAAGGGGAAAAGGGGGGAGGGAAGGGGGTACCTTGCGGCGGCGGCGGCGGCCGGGGAGGAGGAGGGAGGGGAATGTTGGGCGGGCGGGTGGCGGCCGGGGAGCGGGATCCGCAGCGTCTTGTGCGCGAACATCTGCAGGTCGGCGGTGAGGCCGTTCACCCGCTTCACGTCAGCCACCTGCGAACCAAATCGATGAACGGATGAGCGTTTCGATCGGAAAAGAAATAGCGTGCGTGCGTGCGTGCGTTGAATGAAAGAATCGACTGAGATTACCTCGACGCCGTACTTGATGGCGACGCCGGCGAGCGTGTCGAAGCGGCAGACGCGGTGCAGGATGTAGCGGCCGCAGGAGGAGATGGGCGGCGCCGTGGGCGACTGCTCTACCGCCTCGTCCTCCGCCGGCATCGCGGCGGCGCCCCAGCGGTCGCCGCCTCGGCCGAGGACGATGGCGTCGTCCTCCTCCCGGCGGGGAAGGGGGAAGGGGAAGGGCGCCGCGTGGACGCCCATGGCTCGCTCGCTCCGTGGCCCTCCCCCGATCCGGCGCCTATTATTGGGGGGTGGCGCGCGTCGTCGGTGGCGAGCCTGCCGCGGGAGGCGAGGCGAGGCGAGACGAGACGAATGGGGGCGCCGGGGGAATGGGAAACAAATAAAGCGCGAGCGGAGTGTTGTCACTCCGGTTCGATTCCATTCGGGTCGCTTCGCTTGGGTCACAGGTTGGTTCGGGTGCACGCACGCGCAAGCGATGAGACGACCCGGCCACCCAAGGCCCACCTCGTGGCTCGTGGCGTCGCCTTCCACGCGTCTCGCCTTTTTTTTTAAACACGGTACACATGCGCATATGCACTCTCTCTATGAACGTACATATGAACGCGATGCCTCTGTAATCATTATTGAGAGATTGGACCGACAAATCATCTTGGTTGTTGATGGAAATGCCTCTTCCTATTGAACGCACCGCTGGAAGGATGTCATGTTTGGTACTTGAACTCTGGTGGGCAAGAAATATCGCTGTTCTCTAGGGACATCTCTAGCTGATCCCTTAAGATTTAACAAAATAATAACCCCTTAATGCTCCACTAATTTTTGGTTGTTTCTAGCCGATCTCCTAAACTTAATGGAGTAAAATTCACTTAGATCAAGTTCAAAGCAATTTAAACGAAAAGTATCATGCATTGAAACATAAACATACATAGTTTTACACAACCGAACATAAAACATAAATTTAAACTAAACTTAAGCAACTAAACTACTTTCGGTCGATGTGGAGGCTGAGTCAATCCTTTCTCGTCAGGTACCGTGTGCCGCGAGCCGGGTCCGGGGCGGTGCCGTTGTCGGGGAAGACACTCCTTCACTCGTCGACGTCGATCTCTTCATCCTCGCCGCCTTCGACCTCATCGTTGGAGAAGAGCAAGATAACCTCACCACCTTCCGCATCGGCAAAGATCATCCGCTCCGTCTCCACGAGCTTCGGGTACTGCCAACTGAGCTCTTTCATGTAGGCCTCGAGGCGCTCCCTCGTCTCGCAGTCCTCCGGCGCCATAACCGAGGTCACCCCTCCCACCTTCATCGGGACAAGGTGGACTGGACGTGTGCCGAAGCGGAAATTAAGCCGAGCCATCGCGACATGGTAGGGGATCGCCTAGATCAAACTTTTTTTTTGGCGAGAAATAGTAGAGTAAAAAACTAAATTTACTCCATTAAGTTGATGAGGGAGGAAGCAAGGTGTTATTTTGCTCTTGTTTCCCGGAAGCGGCGGTCGTATGATGAGGACGCGCGCGCAGGCGTCTTTTTCGGCTTGGTCAAGCAAGCAAGCGAGCGAGCACTCGAACGCCATTCCGGCGAGCGTCCGTCCTTACTTTGGGCGCCGTCTCGATCGGTCAGTGCTGTGGGCCCCACGTGCGTACGTACGATTTGGTCTGGGGCATGTGACCTGTTCCTTTCCTCGATGCGCCTCCGACGCGACGGTGCATCACTCGCCACCCCCCATCATCTCCTATCCTAGCTAGCTTTCCGGTGGTAGTCTGCACTCCGGCGAGCTCGCCGGAAAGCAACTGGACTCAGATCATCTGCAACCGGAGCCTTCATGTCCATCCCCAAGGTCTATCCGACAAAAAAGAGTTACCCAATCAGACCTGACAAATCAGCCACAAGCACTACACCGACCGACACTCACCATACTTGGCTCATACAAAAAAGGCTATTGACCGGCACTCATCATACTCAGCCCATACAAGAAGCGGTTGGGCTTCTCGTAAAAGAAAAGGAGTCAAATCCCGTCCAAATCATCAAGACTTTGCCTAAATCGGGCAAGGAGGGCTCCAACTTCCGGGCTAACAATATATCAAGTAGCCCTCTTCCGTTGCTCTTGTAGGCCGTGTATGGCTTTGGATGGCGATGGTCCCAAAAGAAAACTTGTTCAGCTTAAAACAATGAAGAATCCACCGGACCTTTTTCTTTCCAGGTCGCCTTGAGATTGAATTCGGACACGCAAATTCCAGTTTTCGGGGCGCAGCGCATGCAAACTCTATTTTATCCGGAACTTCCTAGTTCGGAATATATAAAGTAGCTCACTTTGATGCCTTGTACAAGTCGCATAGGATCTCCGATCGTGATGACGTCAAAAAAGAAATTGTTTAGCTCGACACAGTGAACAATTGCCCTTTGAGGCTTTGAGGCATGTTCCATCAGAGGTCATCTTGGGGGAGCAAATGGGCCTGCAAAATGGTAAATAATATCCCGGGGCAAACTTCACCAGCACGTTGTTTTGGCTCTCGAGGTTGCATACGATCTCGATGAAGATGAACCAAACATCAAAGTTGTTCGTTTCGATGATACAAAGATATAACA